TAAAAAAAGATACAGAATTAGCAACAAGTTCAGTGTCATTTACGTCAAGAGAAAAGAGAGTAATCAGTTGTCTCAAATTCATGGTTCCAGGAAGATGAGTAATGGGACAAGACTATTGGATTTGGATAGAATGGAACACTCTTGTCCTGAGAGAGAAGAATAGTGGTTGTGGCAGATGCCAGCATGGGAAGGGTTTAATGAAGGAGTGGGAGGGGCAGAAGTGGCATTTGTGAGTATCTGTCATTTTTACAAGAATCTGGCTATTAAAGGAAGAAGAGGAACAAGGTGTCTGGAAGAGGAGACAAAGACAATTAAAGGGGAAGATCTGAGTATGTCTCAAGGAGGAAAGAATGAGCCAGTGGAGCAGCTAAGGGTGGCAACCAGTGAGAGGCACACTGGATCCTCATTCTCCCTCACTCCAGCCATCCTTGCTAAGTCTGCTCCAATCTCCTTGATAAGGTCTCTCTACCAACTTGTCACGCAACAGGTTAGATTCTCTCCTATTTTAAAAGCTGGAACTTTGTTCAATCCCACACTCCCTTTCTGATATTGCAGCACCTTTCTTCCCTTTTAGTACAAAACTTCTTGAAAGAGTTGCCTATTTTCAAAGTTTCATTTCCTTGCCTCCTTCTCACTCCTTAAGCTCCTGCCCCTAACCCTGTCTTTGAAACTGTCCTTACCAAAATCATTAATGACCTACTTTGCAAAATCCAATGTGCAATTTTCCGACATAGCTTATTTGGCCCTTTGGCAACAGTGGACACTGCCGACCAACCCTCTCCTAGAAACACTCCCTCCTGTTTCACGACAGCTTTCTCTCCTGTTTCTCCTATCACACCCTCTCAGTCTCCTACAAGTCTCTTCAACATCAGTGTGCTTCAGGATTTGGGTTATGGCTCTTTTCTTACATACTCTCCTTGGGCAAGCTTATTTATTTCCTTTACTGAATTTCTAACTATACGCTGATGATGACTCTCAGTCTCTCCTTAGTTTCAGCCTGTATACCCAATATCCCATTGGACATTTCCTCTTGGATATCCCACAGTATGTCAGACACATAAGTCTAAAACTGCTCTTATCACTTATTGTTCTCCCCACCTCCAAACCTGCTGTTCCTTAATGAGTGGTGTGCCATCCACCTATATGCTCATATCAGAAATCTGGGCTGCAGTCTTCACTCCTTTATCTTCATTCCCAACATCTAATCAATGTCTAGGTCTTTTGGATTTGATTCCATTTATATTTCTTAATTCCAACCACATTTTTCATTTCCACAGCTACTACCCCATCTAGGACACTCTCATTTCTCATCCAGATGTTTCAGTAGCTTCCTAACTAGGCTTTCTGCCTCTAGGTTTGCTTCTCTCTAAGACTTACTATGTAGCAGACAGACAGATTTTTCTAAAATGCAAATCTAAGTATGTCACTCCTCTATTCAAAACCCTTCAGTAACAACCACTTATTATCATTAGGATCTCAAGCTTTATGGTGGACTAAAGCTATTCTCTCACTGCAATACAACTAGATTCTAGATAAAAGTCACATCATTCTCTCCTCCAAAAATGTAAGCAGAGGCTAAAGGAGTTGGATTATCCAAAGAGGTGATGTTAATAGCAGTACTTCTTACTTAGCTTTGGGCCAGTGGTGAGGTGGGAAGGCTAATCCTAGGATTCTGATACTGAGCTAGGATCCTTGAAAGGTATGCTAGTTTTCCAGGTCAGAAGGGGTCCTTGACTACTGACAGAAACAAACAAAAAAGGAGCTGATCCTCCCTAGAGGGAAGCTTCTCCAATTTAATCATACAGAATTCCCATGGACTGAAATAAAATGAGCTCACAATAAAAGTTGACAAGCACACATGAAGGCAGGCACCAAGAGAGTCAGCAGAAAAAATAAACAACAAATTTAAACCCTCACGGACTACAAATATTAGACTATTCAGATGAAGAATACAGAAGAACCGTACATTAAATGTTTAAATAAATAAAAGGCACAATCGTTAAGAATGTACAAATAATATTTAAAAGAGACAGATTTCGAGGGAAAAATAAACTTGTAAAAATGTAAAATAGTTTTGAAATAAAGAATTCAATAAATGGGTTAAATAACAGATTAGAGTGAGCTGAAGAGAGAATTGGTGACTTGGAAGATATATATCTGAAGAAATTGCCCAGAATTCTGCAAGAGACAAGGAAATAAAAATTATGACAGACAAGCTAAGGGATATGGAAAATAAAAGGTCTAACATACTTCTAACTGTAGAATCCCAAAATGAAGGAATAGTGAGAATAAAAGAGAGGCACTTTTGAAGAGATCATGGCTGTAAAACTTTTACAAATTAACATAAACCTTCAGATCCAGGAAGTACAATATATCTAGGCTAAATAAAAAATATACATGCTGTGGTAGCCAGTCTATAAGATAGCCCCCAGTGATCATGAGGTTTTATATCCTCTTAGTATTTATAAACCCTAGTGTGGTTGCCTCCCAAATTGTACCAGGGTTGGTCTGTGCAACAAAGAGAATGTGACAGAAGTGATTGCAGGTCACTTTCAAGATTAGGTTATAAAAGATACTGTGGCTTCCATCTTGGTTGTTCCCTCTTGGATCACTTGTTCTGGGGAAAGTCAGCTGCCATGTCATGAGCAGCTGTAAGGAGAGACCCACGTGGTGAGGAACTGAGGCCTCCTACCAGCAATCCTATTAGTGAGGCATCCTGAGCAGATCTTCAAGCCCTGGTCAAGCTTTTGGATGACTGCAGCCCCAGCCAATAACTTGACTGCAACCTCTTAAAAGACTGTGAGCCAGAACCACCCACACAAGCAGCTCCCAGATTCCTGACCCTCAGAAAAACAGTGTGAGATAACAATACTTACGCTGTTATGTTTTGGGGTAATTTTTACACATGGATAGATAACAAATACACATGTTAACAGCAGTTTTGAATACTCTGTCTAGTCCAGACTTTCTCTCCAGCTTCATTCTTGCCACATTCTCTCTAGTTTATCACATCTCAAACACACCAAACTTTAAAGTTTCTGAAATGCACCATGTCTTCTCCAGTTCCAGTCCTCTATACAGTTCACGTGATGTACCCCTGCCTGACACATTCTCAACCCCTTCTCTCTACTCTCAATGCATATACTCCTTTGATTAACCTCTTCCCATCACCACAGCACTCATCACATTATATGATAAATCTTGTTAAACTGTCTGTCCTTCCACTAGACTGCAAGCTCCAAAAAATGGGAAAACCATTTGTCTCCTTCATTATTATGCTAGCACAGTTCTTAGAACAAAGAAGGTACTCAGAAAATATTTTTCCCTTATGGCCCACAAGACAGGGACATGAAGGAGGCTAAAGGTGGAAGAATGTAAACATTTTCAGTCAATGATCCAAATGAATCTTTGGCCTAGCAACGGACACAACTACGAAGGGACCAAGAAATCCCTATTATTTCATACAATCTCAGGTTTAGGGAAGGCTTGGGGTAGGGTTAAGACACAAAAGTTGGATAGTTTCCAGCTCCTCCTAAGTCAAGGCCCCTTGTTGTGGTTTCATTATGATCCTTGAATTGAAATCTATGAACATCAGACACACCCATTCTTAAAAGCACATTCACAACTGTACTCAAAAAACAAACACATTTTTTAAAAATTACCCTCTGTTCTAGATTTTAGGATAATTCCAGCCTTTTCTGTTCATATTTAAAGTCTGACCATAGATGGTAATTGTGGTCCGTGCCTAAATATGAACATATACATATGTACATATATACATTTCATAAAATATTAATCACTAGTACCCTCTACTGGTGGAAATACCTTATTGGCTCATGTGAATGGTCTTATTGCCCTCTAGTGACCACAACCTATAAAGAGAAAATCCAGTAGCAGATGGGAGAATCTCCTTGGCTATAATAATAGGGTTTTATGTTCTTTAAGCATCTAATTTCCTCAGATTCTGGTTTATATTACAGGGGTACAACTCTCAAGACTCTTGGGGGTCTCTCTGGGGGATTTCACACAGCTCTTGCCAGCTGTTAGCACCAGTCTGAAGCTGCTCTCTCTCCTGCTTCTCATGAACAAGAGGTCATGGGGAGACAGAGAAGGTAATGGTTGCACCAGCAAGGGCAAGAAGAGCAGCTGTGAATGACTACCCTAGACTCCTCGGGGAGTTGGGAGCAGCTTGAGGAACACATGTTGGTCCTCCCTCACATATTATTCACAGCATGTACTGTACTAAAATGGCAATTCAACCTGGTCCCTGATTTACCTTTTACGTATCTCCAATGCTATGTATAAATGATATAGCAGCAAATGTTGCTATCATTTCATTTTTATAAACCATGCTTTGCAAGTTATTTCTACTCAAGACAGATTAGCTACAATTTAGCTGAAATGTCACCTCTTCTATGAAGCCTTTTCTAATTCCCCAGTGTAAGTGACTGCTCTGTCCTTTGGCCCAGCATATTGCTTGTACAGATCAGCATGATACCCAGGACATTATTTATATGTTTTTATTTATAATGTGTAATGTTTTACTGCCCCCAATTGTCTACATGCTTGTTTCTCCACCAGACTCTAAGTTCCTTGAGGGCATGAACCATGTCTTGCTCATTTTTGCACACTCAGCACTAAACACACTCAAAATGTTATCCCTCAACAACTGCTGGTTACCAGTCCATGAGATAAGTACAGAAACTGAAGGACACATTTAGAAACTTTTATAGCAACATGACAGAGTGACTCTATATCTATTCAATCTAATAAAGAAAGTAGGGCTTGTATTTTATATATTTTCTTTTCATTTTCCAGTAATTTTTATTACATTATAATAAAGTATTGGTCTGCAACCAATGGAGTATCTTTTAAACAATGGTCTTTCACCAGAGACAGTTTGCGAAGTGCTGATCTGATAGGTAACATTTGAAGGAAATAGGAAAAGAAGGCAGGAGACAAAATATAAGCACTTTTCATAAAATTCAGAAGGAACATACCTATCCTTGTTGACTTTAACACTTCTCTGGAGGGTATTTTCTTCTTTAATTCTTGTAAGGCTTCAACTAGATTTTCCTTTGTTTGATCAGGAAGCTCCAACATAGTTTTCCATCTTTTTATATCTTCTATAACCACAACTCTCTGGGAAAAAGAAAAGTTATTTTAAAAATGGGACATTTTCATTATAAAAACATCTGCCTTCACCTGAGCTAATGGGGCTCCTATTGACACTTGACATATAAATTATTATGACCTGAACCAAAGCACAGTGTGTATGATGGTCCCAAATGATGGGTAATTGCTTAAAAGCAGGTCCTGCTCAGTGCAAATCAGGAAGAGTTACAGCTATTAGGAAAAGTGCAAGTTTTAATCTTACCATGTCAGATACCACTGGGCACTTAGCAGTGAGAGGCAATAAGAATGAGAAGAAAAGAAAAACAATACTGAGTTGAATCAACCCTATAGTTCACTTAAGTATCTTAATTCATAGGCAAGAACAGACAGCAGAGAAGTCATAAGGATGTATTTATTTCAAAAACAAAAAGCACACTTCAACAGCTCCCCACTTCCTAGATGATAAAACTCAAACTGAACTGTTTGAAAAATTTTTTTAAACTTCAAACACAGAAAAAAGTATAGGGTAACTCACTATAACTGAAGTTAACATTTTGCCATTTTACATAAAATAACAAAACAAAGTTTCATTTGCCTTATACACTTCACCACACCCATTCCTCTTCTATTCCTTGAAGAAATTACTACTTTAAAGTTGATGTGCATCTTTCCATTAAGTCTAAAATATTTACAACTAAGGAATCTGGTTGCAGGGAATGGGGAAGTTCTTTGTACTATGTTCTGACTTTTCTGTAGTTTTGAAATTATTTCAACTAAGACTTTTTTTTAAAAGTAACTGGGAGATGAAAAGTTGCTTTTACAACAAAAATCACCTCAGGTGGTTATTACCCTGATGAGGCAGGCCCGGTTAGGGGCTGGAAGGGGGCACAGTAAGCTTCTGGGATGTTGTTTCTTTAACTGGATGCCAGTGACACAGGTGTGTTCATTTTGTGCATGAGTATCTGTGAAGATGTACACTACCAATTATGTCTACTTTTCCACACCCCGTGATAGTTCAATAAAAAGCAACCAAGAAAGTCTCAACTTCCTCCCCTGGCTGGGGTCTGCTTCCAGCCTAGCAGCCCATGGTGGGAAGAAGAGATATCTGAGCCTCTATTTCCCCATCTGCTTGTTTGCTCTGGTCTCTGACCTTTCCTGGTTCAAAGTTGATAAAAGAATAGGTAAGAGACAGAAAAATCTTTACTCTGTTATGATAGTATGCTAATCAGGCTTTAGTGCTTGCCAGATGAAAAGCGGACTTTTTCTCTTAAGAGATGCTTTTGTTTTTCCCTGGAGAGTTCCCACTGTTGAGATCTAACTTGCAATTCCCATAACATTGGCAATTCTTCTTTCAGCCAATGGCTTACAAGTTCATCCTAAATCCCCAGTTTCTGGCAACCCACTTCACACAGAGTTTCTCTGACGGCATCCCACTGCCCTCCCAAGGATCCTTGTGAACCTAGTAGCCCCTTTAATTCAATTCCAGGCCAGCCAGCATTTTCTCTGCTATGCCTACATCTTTGCCCTGAAAAATCTGAGGGTAACAGCCCTCCCAGCACAGCACGTCTTCCTCTGCTGTCAGTTGGCCATTCCTGTTTTTAGACTTTCCCAGGCACAAGTCTGGTCTCTGTGTCTACCAACTCTAGGAACTGAGGTCAAGTTCTCCAAGTGAAAATGCTACGGCCCTTCCATTTTATCCAAAGGCATTCTCTTTCCTTTCTTCCTTTAACTTCAACCTTCTTACAGCCTAAGGTAGGTGATGGGTTCAGGATTCCAAAACTGGTCTTCATATACCGCCTTTACGAATTATGTAAAGATGGTCTAGAATCTCATCTGGGAACAACATTTGATATCTTTTGCTTTGTTCTCAACCTTCATGGGCCACAGCCAAAATTGAGACAAAGTACTTTTTTATGACCCGTTGCAATATAAAATAGTATTATTAGTATCAAATGTTATGAAAAATAAATAAATGATGTCAGATTAAGGGGATATTTTCAATAGGAAGATGCAAAATATATCATTCTGCAACTTGCCTTTTTCACTCAATATATTTTCTTGATTTATTCACACTGATATACCCACTTGATCCACTTTAGTAGTAACGGATAGTATTCCATTACTTTTATATATATAAATGTCTTGGAATTTTAAAATCTATTCCCTAATGGATATTTAGGGTTCCCCCTACCCAGTATTTTTCCTGTTATAAACACTGCTATGATGATCTCCTGCCTATGACATAGTCATATTCTATCCTCCATCCCTTGACTTTCAACTGGGTCATTATGCTTTAACAAACCTAGGGCTGCTTCACTTTGTCCCTCTCCTCCCTTGCCCCACGTCCCCTCATCAAATCTGAGAATCTCTTTTAATAGGCACAGATAATCCATTTGTATTAATTATGATTACTGTTATAAACATATTTTCTTTGTTTTTTTTTTCTTATCTTCTAAAACAGTCTGAGTTTTCTTTAATCTTTTTTTTTTTTATGGTTTGGAAGTTTTACATTCTATTTCTATCATTTTAATGTTCACCCGTACAATTTTTAAGATGTATGCTCAGTGAAATCTATACTGGTACCCTCCTCACAAGCCTCTGCTTCAGAAACCCTATTAGAAACATACATGGCTTCTTTGTCTGTCCTTCCTGTCCTTCAACTGTTCTTTCACATGTCTCTGTCCTTATTTTTCTGTGATGCTTTCTAAGTAATTTCCTCACATCTATCTTCCAATTCACTATTTCTCTCTGGAGCTATAGCTTGTCATTTAGTCTGTTCAATGTGTTTCTGTATCAACAAATATACATTTCAGTGGACAAGTTCTGTTTTTGTTTTTTCCTCTAAATCTGTCTATTTTCTTTTCATACCTTCCTGTTCTTATAGTTTTATTTCTGTGTACATTTAAAACATATTTAAGCTCTCTTTCAGATTGTTCTGTTATCTCTATTTCTTAGCATAGAAATTCTTTTACTTATATCTATCTGCTAATTCTCCCTCTTGGTAATTTAGTTTCATGTAGAGTTTGTAATTCTGACCATGAGTTCATCTTTAACAAAGGCTGAACCACGAATCCTGGGTATTGCAGGCTTTGAAATGTCTTAACAGGGAAATCTCACATTTGCCTTTGCCAAAGCCTCTGGATTTCCCTGATTCTGGACCAGTTTTTATGTGAATTTTTTTCAGCTTTGCAAGATAGTATGAATTAAAAACATACACACACACACACACACACATATATATGCGTATATGTACCCTTACTCCATACATAGTAGTTAAGTATGGAGTTCTAATTTATTATAGTCAATTCTTTTTCTATCCAAAGCCCTGATAAGATCACAATCTTCATGCTGTTTCCTTAGACTAGGGATGGAATTCTAGTCATTATTCACAAACATAATAGTCCTGTTTTGGCTCCTAGCTTCATGTGGTGTTATTAGCCTGAGGCTCTATCTTTAGTCTCCTGGCCCAAACGCTAAGCATTATATTTGGTTTCCAAAGAACTACTCAGCTCCCACTTACAGTTCAGGGTTTGGATTTTCTCTCTCATCCTGGCACCTGAGTATTTCTCTTTCTTTCTTTCAAGCACTTCTCTGTATTAGAGACTTTTTATCCAGCAGTTCTAACATGGTTGGAATGCAGTTAGGGGTTCCACATCAGATCATTTCAGCATACAGAACGAGAGAAGCCCAAACTCTCTTTGGCATGGCATAAAAGGTCTCACATGACTTGGCTTCTAACATCCTTTTCCACCTCCTCATTTACTCCAGATACACCAAACTATTTGAAGCTGCCTAAATGAATCACAGCATTTCATACTCTCTGACTGGGACGCTCTGTCTTTGCTTCAACCATGTGATACACACCTATGTATTTTTTAAGACTCCTCATGCATCACCTTCTCTGTGGAGCCTTTCTTGCCTCTTTCCTACCTCATTTGACCACACTCTCTCTTGGGTCCTCTGCAATCTGTACAGACTTGTATTACTGCATTTGTACTTTCTGCACATACTTACCTACAGGGCTCTCTTCCCTACTAGACTATGAGCTACTTGAGGGCCAGAACAATTTCTTATTTGTCTCTATCCCCAGTGCACAGCAGATGTAACTGAACAAAGCCATCTCTACCCTTGAGGACCAAGTACAGTTTTCCAATCTGAAAATTAGTGTAGAAATAGAAAAATAGAGCAGTCAGTTCCACAGCAGAAAAATTTTATATACATCAAAGAATGTTTCCTTATTTTTGTCCAAATATGGGCCCCCAAACAAGTATTTCAAGTCCTTATCTGAATTATTTAGAGAAACACGGGAAGCAGACACAAAATATTATAGGGAAACTACAGTGAGTAGTGGAATGTTACTGTCATAAAGAAGATGTACTATCCAATATACCCTCTGGTCTTACAGTTGTGGATGGCTGAAATATCAGGCTGAGAAAACCAATTAGAGAAAATGATTCACTTATAAGCAATAATGTGGGTACCATTCCACTAGTGGGGTAGGGGACAACATATTGATTGGCTAGTCATTCCTACAAAGGGAGGAAAGGTTTATAGAGCATTCTGAAGTGCTAAACCTAAAACAATTAGCATATTCTAGAACCTTTTAATAAAAAAATATCCTACTGCAACCAACAGAAGAAATCACTTTCCCTTAAGGGTGTAGGAAGAGATTAAACAAATGAACCTTTACCATTCAAATATATACTACATGAGCTCTACTGAGTATCTTTTATTGAATGTAATAAGGCTATGGCAAAATTACTTTAATACACTGATATTGATAACAGAAGTACAATGGTCCTAATATTCCAAGATTTTTACACCTCTGCTCAACACTCAGAAACCTCCACTTTTTTAGCACCCTGTAGTGGGTGAATCTGTGGAACAATCTGTGGCACAGACTGTCTAGTTCAAATTCCAGCTCTGCCACTTACAGCTGTATGACCTTGGGCAAGATACTTAATCTCTCTGTGACTTACATTATTCATCTAATATAAATGTTAAAAGCATCCATTTTACAGAGCTGTTATTAGATTTTAAAGAGTTAATAAATGTAAAGCACTTAGCACATTTCTTGGCCCATAGACATGGGTTCAGTAAATGCTGGTAGTAATCACTATTACTATCACCACCATCATCACCATCTCAGCTCTAGTTCTACTACACAAGCCTCTCCTTTTTTGTACATGAGAGGAGGGAACCTATTTATCAGTTTTTACTACACGCCAGGCACAATGCTTAGCCCTTTCATCATGCATTTATTTATTTAGCCCTCCTAACAGCCCTGCAAGTTAGATTTTATTTTTTCTGATGTTACTGATGAGGAATTTGAGACTTGAACATTCAGCAGACTCTTGGTATTAAAACATTAATGCTCATGTGTGGGAATAAGTCACTTGGAAGAGAGTGGACATAGCTAACTCTCTAACATTCACATTTTTTTCCCATTTATTTATTTTGGTATCATTAATATACAATTACATGAGCAACATTGTGGTTACTAGATTTCCCCCATTATCAAGTCTCCACCACATACCCCATTACAGTCACTGTCCATCGGCATAGTAAGATGCTATAGAGCCACTACTTGTCTTCTCTGTGCTATACTGCATTCCCCGATCCCCCCCTACGTTATGTGTGTTTAGCATCCACATTTAACTCAACTTCTTTTTGTTGTTGTGCACACATGAAAGTAAGCATGGGTGCATGTATAAAGGAAACAGTGAGTACCATTTGTTAAATGGTTATGTCACTAATTCCTTCTACCTAATCAAATCTCTCCATCCCTCTAAGGTACTCTGGCCACTAAAAACAGATGCAGAAGCTCTCTCCTCTCAATAATCCTTACTGTCTAAACAACAATTTTATAATGGATCAACTATGGTTTCGTATCATTACTTATTAACTTCTTACGATATGATCCCCCTAATAGGAAGTCCCATGAACACTCAATCTTTGACCTTAAATTTCTCTTATATTCCTTAGAGTACCTAGCATAGTGCTGGATATAACGTTGTTTCACAATATTTGTAAAACAGTTTACTATCCAGGCCCTGCAAGAGCATCCCCAAATGAGCATGATTATTGTTTATTCAATATATTTTTCCCTACAATGCAGCACATACCATGTTAGCACTTGCAGCAGAATCAGAACATAATAAAGATACTGCAGTCCCAGTCCTTAGGAGTTCATAGGAGACTGAGGAAAACTATAGGAAATCAGATAGTTACAATATACTAAGGTAAGTGTTATAACAGGTATTTGAACCAAGTGCTAATAGTACTGAAAAGGGAAGGATTAACTGCCCTAAACAACTCAGAAAGCATTTCAACATTCACTTTTTCAACAAACATTTACTGACCACTTAATATGTGCCAAGCACTGTGATAGGCCCAAGAATACAGAGGTAAATAAAATACCCAGATCCCTGTACTCACAAAACTTATAATCTAGGATTCACTGGGCAAGTTACACTTGAGTGGGTTCACATGAGTAGGAATTCACTCTGTACAAAGAGAAAGGCTTCCCAGGAAAAGGGACCAGCATTAAGTCAAAGCCCTGGAGACACAAAAGAGAAGAGCTTATACAGTAAACAGCAAGAAATGGAGTGTGGCTGGGATGCATTCCTGTGAATGAGGAGCTACAGGGGATGAGATGAGAAGGCTCACTGGGGCAGAAAAGGAAGAGTCTCATATGCCATGACAAGGCTTTTAGAATTTTTGTGCATTTGGTCACTCAAAGAAATGTACTATGGCCTGCTACATGCCAAACTTCTAGGTGCCATGTACTGGGATATAGAAAAATCAAAATCAAGACATGGTCTTTATGTCTTATTTCAATAAGACATAGTCTTTCAAGAAGTTCAGAGTGCAGCAGGGCACGGGCACATACAGAAACACTTATAATACAGCACAAGTAAGTGCAATGATGGGCGCATGTTTAAGATACAGGCATGGCTTAGAGAAGGGAATGATTAGATTGTCTCTGTATCTGGGGGACAAAAGGGTGGTCAGAAAAGGCCCCATAGTAGACTCTTGAACTAGGTAATGCTGGACAAATAGGGTTCATAAGGTACATGACAGCCAACACTTGCACAGCACTTAGCATGTTCCAAGCATTTTTACACATGTTAACTCACTCAAACCTTGTATCTACCTTATAAAATAGTTATTAATCCCATTTTACAAATGAGGAAAGACACAGAGAAGTTAAATAACTTGGTTAAGGTCACACAGGTAGTAAGTGGCAGAGCTGGGATTTTAACACAGTCAGTTAGGCTCCAAAATCTGTTTTCGTAATTACTAGATTACCTCCTAAGACAAGCAAGTAAGGCCATTGCCGGCAAACAGGACAGCACATGCAAAGGTACAGGTGTGAAAATACACAGCATCTTTGGGAAACTGGAGTGGTTGACCTAGGATGGAATGTAAATAAGAAGAGCAGCAAGGGATGAGGTAGGCAGGTGCCAGGTCATGGAGCGCTTTGGGTGCCAAATAAAAAAAGTCTTTATAGGCAATGAAAAAATCACTGAAGGATTAGACAGTGAGATGACCTGAGTAGATTTTCTTCTTTTTCTTTTTTTTTTTAAGATTTATTTCTCTGGCTTAAGTGTGAAGGGAAGAATGACAGAGGATGCCAAGGGCAGGGAGACAAATTAACAAATTAACAGACCACTGTACTGCTCTAGAAGAAAAATAACAAGATCTTAAATTTAATGTGAGAAATGTAAGAGAAAGAAGGATTTTTAGGAGGCAGAACTTAAAACTGGATATAAGGAAGAAAAAAGTTAAGTATGGTTTCTAAGTTATCTACTCCCAATCGGCATATGAATTTTGAAGTAAATACAGAGAATAAAGAACAAGGTTGGAAGAAAAGCTATTGCTTTTAAGGGGATGTTATTCCATACACCTACTGTTCATTCTAATTCCATGCCCTCAATGTGACTTACTCTCATCATCACACTCAGTGATTCTCAACTGTGAGCACACAGAGAGAAAGGTCAGGTGGAGGTATATTGAAATCTAGGTGTTTATAATTGAGTGCAGGTATAGTTCAATTACTACCAATTTTTTTTCAGACAGTCTGATGTCACAATCCTGCCCACCACCATCCCTCACTGAGAATCACCATTGTATACAATTATCCATGAATACTCCGACAAAACAGAGACAGTTGAAAAACTTGAATATGTTCCATAAAGTCACAGAACTGCAAGAATAAGAGAGATTTTGGATGACCATCTAAAGTTCAGTAGGTCTCAACCAAGGGCTGCTTGGAAATATGTAGGGGAATTTGGGCTATTACAGTGGCATTTAGTGTCTGAGGGCCAGGAATGTGAATTAAGCTTCCTACAACTCACAGGACAGTTCCAAGTAAGAATTATTTTGCCCCAAATGACAACAGTGCTCCTTTGAAGAAATTCTGATATAGTTCAACCCCTGTATTTTATAGATGAGGACAAAGTAAGATTCCAGGGAAGGAAATGACTTAATAAAGATCATCCAGTTGAACAATAAGGCCCAGAACCCAGGGCTTCTGTTTATACTCCTCTTCACTGCTTTCTAATCTGGGACTGGTAAGCCTGCGCACATCTAGGAGAGGAGTCTGACTAAAGTATATGTCAGGTACTCAGAACGCTACCTTGCTATCAGTTCTTTACACATTTTCTCACCCTCAGATCTGGGCTGGAGATGCAAGTTTGGCAGTCATCAGCATGGGAATAAGATGAATAAGATCACTCTGGCCAAATATGTAAAAAGTGACAAAGCTCTGGGGAGCACAAACTCCTTAGGAGTCTAGAGGAAGAAGGGGTACCAATAAAGGAAGCAGAAAAGGAAATGTAGGAGAGAGTCTCAAAGACAAATGGAATTGCAGGCAGTTTTTTGTTTTTAGTAAAATAGTTACTTTACCATTAATTGGGAACCTATGTTCACTGAACGACTGTTCATTTCCTCTCTGTATCTATTCCTTGCCTTTTCTTTGCTTGATTTTGCAGACAGTCTATTAAAACAGTCTCTTTCCCAGTCTCAGCTATAGCTGTGATACAGTTATGGACAATAAAATATGAGAATATGATACCATTATCTTGTACCCAGCCTTACTGAGTTTGTACAGGATACACAGAATCATATTTGACACTTTAATATTCCTAAGAGCCAAGAAAATTTTGCAAGAGTAACTTAGGAGGCCTGTTCTACCAGCCAGCAAAACAAACCACAAAGCCAAAGTAATTACAAGAGCATAACAGAAGTGTGAGGACTGATAAATAGAAGCCAGTATACAGTGTATGGGAAAAACAAACTAGGAGTAGTCAGGAACACTTTGGGGAGGAAGCATATCAAGAAATAACTCATAAGTCTTCCACAGTAGAACTCCCAACCACCTTGCTGTCACAGTCCTTTGTATGTTTTCTCAATACCCAAATCCCCTCTCACCTTCAAAGATTCAATCGTGGCCTGCTTGTAAATCTTTCCTCCAGGATCTTTCTTCTGAGGACTATTCTGGATTCTAGGCGTTCGAATGACGAATTTATCCATTGCTAGGGGACTTCAACTACGATTCCAACTACTTTCACTTGTTTGCAGCGTGTTCTGCTCAAGAGAGGTAAGATTCTAAAACGTCATCAAAACTGCGGTGATGTGTGTTCCCTTAAGTGACATAATTGGGTTCTATACACTCTAGAAGCATTCCTGAACTATTAGTACTCTTGGGTGTAATTCACAGGAAGATCGCCTCCTGAAAAAAAACATCTTTCAAATAACTGAAACTGTATACAATCATCGATCTACTTCCTGAGTTTGGAGGTGCCTAGCTTTCATAAGTGCACGCTGTGTAAGGGATCCCAGTATTGGGTCAGGGGTTGAGCCTAGTAACTCACAAAGCCTCTTTCAACTAGGTTGAGTTTTTCCTGGGTTAGAGTTCCACTAGTTTCAAAGACGCTCTTAACAACTACCCCCTCCATGCCCGCAACTGCAAGGGTTCTAGTGAACAGCACCCAACTACCACCTTCAGGTTTCAGCAGGGTGCTCAACAAACAGCCACTTTCAGGAACTGCTGGGTGGCGAGAGGGTCCCAACCGAGACGGTCGAGCTCTGGATTCCCGAGCAAAGGGAAACACCATCTTCCTCTCTCCTCAGGACTCAGAATCCCAGAAAGGGGAACCTAACAACGGTGTGACATGAGACCCACCAGGAAAAGCAGCCCTGCCAGTAGTTGGGCCCCTTCACAGCGCACCCATTGACCACCCAAGCCTGGATTAAACTGTCGCTTCCTTCCAAAGCCGCAACTCCTCGGAAGACTCTCTGCCAGCCCTCAAAGAGCCCCGGGGCCGCAGCAAACCATTTTGCCCAGAATGCACTGCGCAGGGAGGGGCGACGGAGGGCGCGCCCAGGGCGGCTGTAGTTCTCCAAGACCGACTTTTCCACCCGCATCGTGCGCCTCCTGTCCGCAGAGAACTACATGCCCCAGCGTGCCCCGCGAAGGGAAGGATGGCAGGCCTGCCAGTAGCTTTAGGACTCGCGATGGTTGGTCCCACCCCCTCTCGCCAACCTAAGAGGAGTTCGTTGACCCAGTGGAGGGGCGGCAGTTGGCTGCTTCGGGTCAGGGCGGAGTTGAGGCGACGGCGGAGGCGGAAGCGGCGGCCCGTGGGGCGGGGAAGGGGCTGGCCCCGGAAGGAGGAGGAAACTCTGAAAAGAAAACAGCAACAAGCCGAGCTGCTGTGACAGAGGGAAACAAAATGGCGGCGCCGAAGTGGAGCCTCTGGGTCGGGGCCCAACTGGGGCTCCCGCCGCTGCTGCTGCTGACCATGGCCCTGGCTGGGGGTTCGGGAACTGCTTCAGCGGAAGCGTTTGACTCGGTCTTGGGTGATACGGCTTCTTGTCACCGGGCCTGTCAATTGACGTATCCTTTGCACACCTACCCCAAGGTAGGGCCCGTCTGAACGGGCTACAACCCTCCCCTGAACCGCCCACGTCTCCGCTCTTGCGCACCTCTGTCCGCTCTGGGAACCGCCGTCTCTCACCTGTGTCCCTCCTGTTTGCATCCCTCATCTACCTGCACCCTGTTGCTGCTTGATTAGCGGAAGTTAGTGCTGCATCTACCCTGTAATTGGCTGGGGAACACAAAGATGACAAAGACAAGACCCCTTTCCTGTGGGAGCTTGCGGGACAGCGAGGTTGTTGAGCGCTCCGCGGAGGAGGAGGAGGATACGGATGATTGATGTGGGGTCCTCACCTCCCAGGAGCGTAAGGGATGGCGGCGGCGGGGGCGGGTAGTCAGGAGCAGATACGTAGGACCACAAAAGGTTAGTTCAAAACCCATGTTTACGGAGTTCCTTTCTGGGCCGGGATCGCAGTCTGTTTCGGTAGACAGACAAGTAGACAATCACACCGTAGTATAAAATGTGTTGTCAGCCCAAAAACTTGTGAGATGCACAGGAAGGGGCTTTTCTCCTGTGTTGATTTACTGTGTGCAAGGCGCTGCCACTAGGGACTGGGATGGCTTAGAGCAAAAGCAGTTCGTTTTCTGCAAAGAATTTAACCATTAAGTGCGGAATACAGAAGGAATTCATAGAGTGGGTTAAGAAATGAGACTGCCCTTTGGTGGGGAGGAAATCACAGCTTAGGGAGAGGAGTGACCCTATTTTCACTCCCAGTCCGCCCGCAGATGCTGCCTTTCCTTTAATTCCATTCCATTTCTCAAGTTGTTTTTTCAGCTTCCTTCAGAACTCTGTTTACTCAATATTCTAAATTGCGTGGTGACTCCCCACCCTTCCCCATATGTAATCTGGGTATCTCTTCCCCTCCCCAGCTGCCTTGCTTTATAATAGCTTTTGCTGATGTTGATGTTTTTCTCCTTGTTTTTCCTGCGTCTTCTCTGTGCTGTTTACCTAATCGTGTAGCTAGACCTCTTTGCTCTCTCGGTCTACCAAGTGACCACGAGGACAGGTCCAGTGAAGTTAATTTAGTATGTACCTCATCCGCAAGTGCTTTCAGGTCTTGGAAATGAAAAGTTCTAAAATGCCTTCACTTACTATATGTCTGTTTACTGTCCGATTTTACGTTGCATCAGGATTATCAGTTTTCAAGAAAAAATGTGGGAGAGTGGATTATCCTAGAATTTTAAGTCAGAGAGTAACAGCAATCAAGAGAGAGAAATGAGAAATTTTGGCTTCCAGACTTAAATCAAGCTGTACTACCTCTAAGTGCATAATTTTCTTCTCTTCTTTTAAACCTCTCATCATTAAGAAGATTGAATGAGGAAACTCAATAATTGATTTGGCATGGAATTGGGCAGACTTATTTTGTATCCTTCTAGTGTTAAATCATGGTTTTTTTCCCCCCTTTTTTGAGATTTTCCTAGCAAATTTGTAGTATGCACACCAGAATGCTGGGAGAATAATTAAATGACTTGAAAGGGTAAACATTTCCAGAACTTTTAGATACTTTTATAATACCCACTATACCCACTACTTGCTGAGAATTGATGTGATACTGGTAAGTCTTTTTTGCTTAATCATTAAAGCTATTCTCACCCGGACCTCCAAAAATCATCTGTAATCTTTCCTCCACTTTATTGCCAGTATAAGAGATTTGCACCTATTATTACCCTAATTCTCACAATCAGCCTCCAAAGTAAGTTTTATGATTGAGGAATTGAGGCTCTGAAAGGTTAAGTGACCTGCCCAAGGTCACATAGCCAAGAAGTAATGGACTGGTAGGAATTTAGTCCTAAAACTGGCTACCTGTGCTGCCTTTTATTAATAAACTTGTATTAAAAATTTAATTTGCTTATTTCACTGATTCTGTTGACCTTCCTCTGAATTATTTTGCAGTTCAGGAAAAAGTGTGTGTTATAAATAATTAGATGGATTTACAAGCTCACAAAGCCTCTTGGTCTAGCATTTGTAAATGGGAAATAGAAATCTCATTTTAACAACTTTTTCAAAATTAGTTATATGTTGCAAGAAAGTAGAATACCTGTTTGTAAGTCATAATTTAAAAATTATTGTATCTTGTCTTCTAACTTTGCTTGAAAGTGCAATTGCATGATTTGTCTGCTTCCAAATACAAGAGACATAAGTCATGTTAATAACAAAGGTAATTAGAGTTGGCCTGGTCGTTTTTTAACTGTGTGTGTGGGCTCTGGAAACATACAAACCTGGGTTCCATTCCCAGCTCCATTTTTACTATGTGTGTAGTTCAATTTGTCAGCTGTAGAAAAAAAAAACGCATAGTGTGAAGATTAAAGATAATATATATCTGTTGTGTAGGCACAACAGATATTTCTTCTGCTATATATCATAAAGCCAGTTTGGTACATATAGTATCAGTAGTGCTGATAATGAAAGAATAGTTGGACTTAGCTCAGAATAAGAAGATGTATCTAAAATCTATAGATAGTATCATTGAAGTTCCTTTTAATAATTTAGCTGGTATTCAGTTTGGTGGAGAGCATCATTTCCTTGGGCTTTAAATCAGAGTAGATATGTTCTATATAAGCTTGCCAGTCATTTGAGATATATAGGGCATGAAATATTTACTTGGAACAATAGTATCTAGAACATGAACACTTACTTAGAATAAGGGTATGATTCTTAATAGCTACCAATTGAGTGCATCCTCTGTGCCAGATGCTGTATAATACATTAAGTGTTAGCACAATGCCTGGCACATTGTGGGTGCTCATTAAATATTATTATTGATATGTCTATTTATTAAATAGTATAGCATAATACTATATTGTAGATATAAAAATGTATGAACCTCATCATAATCAAGATTGACATGAGTATGTCCCCATTGTGCAACTAGGGAAATGGGTTCAGAGAGATTAAATCACTTGCTCAAGGTTATACAGAATAAGTAGTGAGGCTTCAAACCAGGACTGGTTTCTGAACCTAGACTCATTTCATCGTGCCATACTCTTCTCTGAAGCTGACACTGAAGGGCTTATTGGGTTCGTTTAACAAAGCATATCTGAAAATGAAATGACATGCAGTGTAGCTTATACTGATGAGCTCATGCTTCCTCTGTGTGGTACACGGAAATAGGTGGTGCTCAAAGACATAATTCTTTCACCATTTTACAAAACCTGCAGAAACTACTCAGGTATGAAATTTTTATCTAAATTGTTAAAATTCTTACAATTTCTCCTTAACAACAAATGCAAATAGAACCGAGGTCCAAAATTGTTAAAATTCTTACAATTTCTCCTTAACAACAAATGCAAATAGAACCGAGGTCCAAAAATGTGCTACCTTCAAAGTTGTATAATGAAGCTTGTGTAGTATTAGACTGCAGCCACCACTTCTTAATGGATTGCTGCTACTGCATAAATTTTACTAATCCTTCTTCTGGGAAGAAATGCATACCTTTGTGTTTCATTGGTTCCTAACGGGTATTTGCACATGCTGTTTCCTTATTAGGTGCCTTCCAGTTTGTATACAGTGGATCACACAGTAAGTTGAGAGGGCTCTCTCACATTAACTAGTTTGTTTCAAATACTATATGTATTTCATCTAAGAAAAGCCTGTTGAAGACATTGTCATTAGTCTTATTAAGCAGTTAACATTTTCCAGCAATGAATAATCTATCCTATCATCAGCTCCCACACATAAAGAATGATGCCTATAACTGTTTTTTATTTTTAAAATATATTACTATGATTAACACTACTGCCATTTATTGACCACCTTCAGTGTCTCAGACACTGTACTAACAAAGCTATCTTCCAGCATTGTTGCGGGGTTTGGAGATATGAAAAAACTGAGATTTTAGATAGGTGAAGTAACTTGTGCTTGGTCACCCAAAAGGTTTTAGTCCAAGTCTGGTAATTCTAATGGTTTGCTTGATATGTCACACTGTTGGTCTTACTTGTGTTTTCGTTTAAAGTAAGCCAAGTTAAAAAAGAATCCTTTCATGTAAGCGTTTTTATAGATGTGACCTCACTTTGTGGGGGCCTTTATGGTACTACTTCTATGTGAAGCTAGTCGTCATACTTCTCCTGAGAACCCTGATGATTTATATAAACATGTGGTAGAAGTATGCCATTGGTTCTAAGGTACTAGCTTACTCATTTCTACCTCTGTTAAAGGTCCAATTATGTCTGTTATTTTTATTTTCAATTTTCTCCTTGAAATTTGCTTGAAAGTGCAATTGCATAATTTGTCCATAACATATGACCATGGAATATGGGAAAAGGACAAATAGAACCGAGGTCCAAAAATGTGCTACCTTCAAAGTTGTATAATGAAGCTTGTGTAGTATTAGACTGCAGCCACCACTTCTTAATGGATTGCTGCTACTGCATAAATTTTACTAATCCTTCTTCTGGGAAGAAATGCATACCTTTGTGTTTCATTGGTTCCTAACGGGTATTTGCACATGCTGTTTCCTTATTAGGTGCCTTCCAGTTTGTATACAGTGGATCACACAGTAAGTTGAGAGGGCTCTCTCACATTAACTAGTTTGTTTCAAATACTATATGTATTTCATCTAAGAAAAGCCTGTTGAAGACATTGTCATTAGTCTTATTAAGCAGTTAACATTTTCCAGCAATGAATAATCTATCCTATCATCAGCTCCCACACATAAAGAATGATGCCTATAACTGTTTTTTATTTTTAAAATATATTACTATGATTAACACTACTGCCATTTATTGACCACCTTCAGTGTCTCAGACACTGTACTAACAAAGCTATCTTCCAGCATTGTTGCAGGGTTTGGAGATCATGAAAAAACTGAGATTTTAGATAGGTGAAGTAACTTGTGCTTGGTCACCCAAAAGGTTTTAGTCCAAGTCTGGTAATTCTAATGGTTTGCTTGATATGTCACACTGTTGGTCTTACTTGTGTTTTCGTTTAAAGTAAGCCAAGTTAAAAAAGAATCCTTTCATGTAAGCGTTTTTATAGATGTGACCTCACTTTGTGGGGGCCTTTATGGTACTACTTCTATGTGAAGCTAGTCGTCATACTTCTCCTGAGAACCCTGATGATTTATATAAACATGTGGTAGAAGTATGCCATTGGTTCTAAGGTACTAGCTTACTCATTTCTACCTCTGTTAAAGGTCCAATTATGTCTGTTATTTTTATTTTCAATTTTCTCCTTGAAATTTGCTTGAAAGTGCAATTGCATAATTTGTCCATAACATATGACCATGGAATATGGGAAAAGGGTGATTTTTTTACTCACTAGTTCACTCTCTTGGGTTATCACTTTTAAAGTAAGAAACTAAAACCTCTTTATATGGTGAAAGTCTTGGATATCACTTCTATCATTTTTCTTGGACAGTTCATATATTTATATAATTAATCATACTAACTTTGCTTCCTTTCTTACCTTTTTTTTCCCTGAGAGAAAAATAGTATTTTTTGGTAATCATCTCTGTTCTTGATCTCCCTAGGAGGAGGAGTTATATGCATGTCAAAGAGGTTGCAGGCTGTTTTCAATTTGTCAGTTTGTGGATGATGGAACTGATTTAAATCGGACCAAATTGGAGTGTGAATCTGGTAAGGTGCTGTGTTGATATTGTCAGCAGTATGTAACATTGGTGTTTTCTTTGACTTGTGCCATGCTTTTTATGTATTATGTGTTTTCCTCAGAAACTAATAAGCATGCTGTTTAAACTAGTCATACATCATATTTTAATTATTATGAAGTTAGAGTTTTAGTAGCTGTTGCTAAAAATATCATGGTACTTAAATTTCATCTACAGGTTTCTCCTGCTATCCAAAAGAAGAGCATTCCCTATGAAACCTTTCATGAGCCAAATGGAACAATTGCTGTAATTTATAATGGAATATTTTTTGAGTGTTCCCAAACCCCCAAAAATAAGCTCTTTTAGGCTTTTCTGATATCTTAGTACACATCTTGCTAACAGATACACAAAAGAAATTTCAATAAAGCACAGATGCTCACAGGCACAGTTCAAAGCTATAGCAGCTTGATGCTAAGATGCTTAGTTCCTGGGGAAGGAGCTTTGGGGGGGCCACTGTCTTTGCTCAAGGTGCCCACTGCCTCTCTGCAAACAAATTCTTAATGCTTTCTTGCTTTTCACCTTTTTTCTTAAAAAAGTAAATCCTCTTTGGATCTCTCTCAGTTACCGGAAACAGGTAGTACTGCTGTAGATCTTTTATAAAAGCAAAGTAGTAAAATGTAAACTTTTGAAAAGCAGGGAATACCTGGATTTGTTGAGATGGTGTTTATTTTGTACCATGGATAGGACACCTTTGTTTAACCAAGCATTTTGTTTGGACAAATACAGTAGTAATTACCCTTCTCATAATTCATCACCACCTTTTCAATGGATAGTATAATTTTCCTCAGTCTTTCAGTCATAGGCTAGTTGATTTAGCTTCAAGTTTTTTACTGAATCAGGCCTTTGACTCAGTATTTAATAGTGTATTCTTTGTGGGTCATGCCAATAAAAGAAGTAACCAGAGTCTTTATCATCTCTTAAACCACTATTCTTATCTTTTGCTGAAAGAGACGTGTTTAATAAAAGAAAGATGTAATCAGGACAAAATTAACATTTAACTTTTTTAAAGAACTATAATGGAATTTTCTCCTTCCATTACTTTACACTGTTTATTCAGTATAGCAGGAGGTGCCTTTCTCCCTACCACCATGCAATGACTCAATCCAGCCTCTGTGACATCATAACCTATATGGCTCAATCTCCTAACTGGCCATCTTTGTATGTGCATAATGCTGTTCATTTGTTATATACCTTTGAGAAGTATATCACAAATGCAAGACTGGATTGGAAAGAAAAATAAAATTATTATAGTGGTGAAGTGTTGTATCACAAGAAAGAAATGGCTCTACTGAACTAAGTGCAGCAAGTATGTCTGGTAGACACTCATTTCAACTTTAGCATCCTGCTGTAGAACATTTTCAAAGCTTAATTTCTCAGAATGTAGGGTATTAGATTGATTGCTTTATTTTTGCTTGTCATATGAATACCCTCACTTCTCAACCAAGTTTGATCTAGTTCTTAATAGTAATATATATTTGTGTAAATCATTGAAATACATTCATCAGCCCTATGACATAGGTGGTGGTATTTTCATTTTAGATACACTGAAATCAGTAATCAGAGAGGTTAAACAGCTCAGCCCAGGTTACATATACAGCCTACAAATGATGGAGCCAAAACTTCAGGATGCTGGTTCTATGTTTTTTCCACTATGCAAATGCTAACTATGAGGATCCCCTCATATGGATGTCATCATATAGATAGACCCTGAGTGTATAAAAAATAGATTTATATCTGAAACATTTCACTTTTGGGAGGCAGATGATCTAGGATTTTATTAAAATTATCCATTTGCTGTTAGGAATTTAGAAATTCATATTGATGAAATACTTTTTTACGTAAAAGAAATTTCTTTATGAAATACCAAATCCCTCCTTTTCTATCCTCCCTCCCTTCTCTCTCTCTTTTTTTCTTGTAATTTGCCTGTTTTTCTTTTACAGCCTGTACAGAAGCATATTCCCAATCTGATGAGCAATATGCTTGCCATCTTGGTTGCCAGAGTCAGCTGCCGTTTGCTGAACTGAGACAAGAACAGGTATGAAACAATACTGCCTTGCAAAATTACCTGCCTAGATTGTACTGACTTGTATTGAAATGTTTATCACTCACTTGATCCTATTTTAGTGTTACATATTAGAATAGTTTTCAGCAAACTGTGTTTGCAAATAGGAAAGTTAATTGAATAATTTTTGTATAATGCTTCATTGTTAAAAGGTGTATTTGCATCCATAATCTCATTTTGTGTTTTTTTTTTCATGGTCCAGTGATGATGTAATCCCCATTTTGCTCATGAAAAAACTGAGGCTCAGAGAAATTAATATTTCAGAGTTCTTTTTTCATCCCAACTCCCATTATCTTAACAAAGATCATCATCACTTCTCATCTATATTACTAAATAAACTCCCAAACTATTTTCCTACTTTACCACCTCTAGTCCACATCTGTCTCCAAATACTTATTTTCTAAATGGAAATATCATTATGTCATTCTCCAATCCTACATACTTCAGCAGCTCCCTATTATACACAGGTTTAAGTCCATACCACTTATCACAGCCTGGCTCCTGATTACCTCTTCTATGTCAATGTCATATAATTCCCAACCCCTCATATCTGTGCTTCAAACATACTGGGAAAAGTTTCTTCGTTTTATTAGTTTTTGAGTAGGAAATATAGTCACATAATATAAAACTCAAAAGATAAAAAGAGTATACAATTGACCGTTGAATAATATGGGGTTAGGGGCATGCTCCCCTGCGTAGTCAAAAATCCATAGTATAACTTTTGACTTCCCAGATCTTTATACTAATAGTCTATGGTTGACTGAAAACCTTACTGATAACATAAACAGTCAGTTAACACATATTTTATATATGTATTAACATACTGTATTCTTACAATGAAGCAAGCTGGAGAAAAGAATGTTAGGGAAATCATAAGGAAGAGAAAATACAATACTGTGCTGTATTGAAAATAATCCACATATAAGTGGACCAACACAATTCAAACCAATTTTCAAGGGTCAGCTATATAGCAAATAGTCTCCTGTTAAGACATTCAGTTTTCCTTTGTTAATGTAGCTGGGATTACCAATACAGAGGTATTTCATGGATACACAAAGATATATGTATTCTTTTTTAAAAATGTAAGTGTACATAAGGAATATCTACTCATTACTCATTTTTTTTACTACATAATATTCCATTGTGTGTATGTATCATAATTTAAGCAGTCCCTTACTTGTGGACATTTAGGTTGTTCCTAATCATTTTTATTTATAAGTGATTTTGCATATTTACATCTATAGAATAAAGTCATAGGAGGAGAATTTCTGAGTTAAGAGATGTATGCATTTTTAATTTTGAGAAATAGAGCAGAATTACCCTCCGTGGAGTTAGTACCAATATTTTGAATTGAGATATAATTCACATATAATTCACTCTTCTAAAGTATTTGCTTTAGTAGTTGATCAGTATATTCACAAAGTTGTGCAACCATCATCACTATATAGTTCCAGAAGATTTTCACAATACCAAAAAGAAATCCCATACCCTGGGACTTTCCTTTCCAGCTCCGTCCTGCCTCTGGTAATGTACCACTTTCATTACAATTTTAATTTGTGTTTCTCTTATTATAGTAATGTTACAGATATTTTCTAACTTTGAAAATGAAAAGATAATTTTGAAGAGCCATTTTTATTTCCTTTTATTTGTATGCATATTGAGCAGTTGTTGATTTTTATAATATGATGTGTTATTTCATGCCTCTGTTCCTTCTACTCCCCATCTGCCTAGTCAGTCTTTGGGCAGGTGTCATTTCCTTTGTGAAGCCTTCTTAGAAACCACCTCTCACCCCAGTTTGGGTTGGGTGCCTTTCCCTGTACATGTCTTACCACCTTATGTTTAACCTTTCTCCTTGAAGGATTACACAGATTAAACACAGGTATACATTGATGAATAAAACACACATGGTCCCTGATCTCCTAAAATGTATAATCTCAATGAATGCTTGTTCAGTGAAATAGCCAAGAAAAGATTTCACAGTGATTATGTGGGAAAATTCTATTATGATCAAATCTTCTAAAATTCGTCTAATTCTAAAAACTGCTTTCCCTTAATACCCAGTAATACGTCTCTTTTAAAATATAGCAAAACCAATATTATCCCTAAAATCCAGGCAATGTATCCCCCTTGTGCTGTAGAGGGGCCCACTGCTGCTAAATAAGAAGTTGGATTGGAGGGGAGATACCAATTAATGTTAAAATCTTATCAGTAGTTTATTCAGCCCATAAATAACTTCCCTTATCCTGCCCTGAAATCAGATGTCTCATATTTTATGCATATATTCTTTTGATTGATTTTCCCTTCCTCTTTTCCATTGATATTCAATAGAGCATGATTTATTTTACATGAAAGCATTAAAGATGAGAATGATATGATTTGTCCATTCCCCTCTACCACTTGAGGCCTTGCTCATCTTTATTTAATCGTATCAAGATTCTCCACATTTTTGGGCCCGATTCAAAAGCATGTTGTTAGAGAGGTGATGGGTAGCTTGTAAGTGTCTTTGGTGACAAGTTAAAGTAGCCTGAGATTTTTAGCTTTACCATGGTTAGATAACTAAGAGTTTACACTAATGCAAATGATAATGGTAGAGTCACTTAATGCTTATACCCTGTCCCAGTAACAATTTGGGGAGTCTTGATTATCTTGCTCTCTTGAATATACATATATAAAAATAACACATTTCTCATTATTAAATTTTTTTTTTTAAGCTTATGTCCCTGATGCCAAAAATGCATCTGCTCTTCCCTCTGACTCTGGTAAGGTCATTCTGGAGTGACATGGTGGATTCTGCACAGAGCTTCATAACTTCTTCATGGACTTTTTATCTTCAAGCTGATGATGGAAAAATAGTTATATTCCAGGTGATGACTGTGCTTCATAGATTCATTAAATACAAACAACAGTAAATGCATATGTCTTAATTGAAGTCTTGGCATAAAGCCATGTAGTCATTCACTTACAAACATTTATCATCAAATAATAATTACTTATTTGGCCTACATGACAACATTGGGTTATCAGGACACAGTGTCAGTGTACCCTTCCCTCTACTGTTGGAAGCCTATCTAAAGCCCATTGGTGCTTACCTAATAAGAACTCTGAGTATTCTAAATTTTCTAGTGGTCAAATTGATAAAATGAAACCTCTAGATAGGAGAAGTAAGAATAATTAATGTGCTTTGAGTGTAAATAGGGCATATACATCTCACATATGGATATTAGAGAAAAGCAGTATAATATAATTTTTAGCTCTTTATAGTGCTTTTCCTCATAACTCTTAAAAAAGAGCTTGCTCAAAAGCATATTGCCTCATAGACAAGAAATTTTTCTCCTACTTCATTACTCACTGTGTGATGTGACAGTAATAGTTGCTATTCCTCAAAGGTTCTTATGTAGTAGACATACATGTGTTATCTCAAATCTTCAAACAATTTTATAATGTTGTATTATCCCTATTCTATTGATGAGGAAACTGCAAGTATAACTTATTTAAGGTCACCCTACCAGTACTAACAGAATTAGGCTTCAGACTTAGGTTACTTTAGTTCCAAGGCTCATATGCCATCCTGCCATGCAGTCTTCCTTTTTATTCAGTAAGTTCCTCAAAATTACCAGCCAACAAATCATATGCCATCCTACCATGTGGTCTTCCTTTTTATTCAGTAAATTCCTCAGATTTACCAGCCAACAAATTATGTTTTGGTATTTTTCTCTCAGGTAATAATTGAAGTAAACCTTCTAATTATTACTACTAATTGAGTGGCTTACTGCAAGGCTAGTATGTGATTTTTAGCACTGTTCTGAGCCTTGGGTCACCTGTACTTAATCTGATAAGTTAAACACAGAAGGAATTTTCTCTCTTTAAACTCTCAAATAAGCTCCATGTCCTGAAGGTGCTCAACTTAAAGCTTAAGTTAACTCTCAGAGCAGAGCCCTCATTCATTTCTGATTAGATATGAAATTACTTCTGTTTCTTTCTTTGTGTCAACTTGAGTGTAACTCAGATGGAGGAACCCCCACTCCAGAGGATCAGGGCTACCTAAAAGGTATAAAGTATGGAGTATTTAGCTGTAATATATGAATTATTCATACTTAGGGAAGAATGGAATGTTTCAAATGAGATAATATGTGTTTAATTCATACTTAGGGAAGAATGGAATGTTTCAAATGAGATAATATGTGTTTAGCTAAAATTTTGGCAGTCTGCTAAATTATTCCTGAGCAACTAGAATTAGAACTCATTTTTGCAGGGTGTGATATTTAATGGCTGTATGTCATAATTTGTCCCCCTTTTTTAAAAAATGTTGTCAGGAAGCTAAACTGACTAAATATTTGATGATGCCAGAAATCTGTTTCTTTGCAAGGCACTGGATCTGATGTTTAGGAAGTGCAATTAAAATATATTGTGGTTTTTCTGTTTTATACCATGCTTCTGTTACTTTTTCTCAATTTGAATGTTTATAGAGATGATATGTTATAGAACTTGCTACTGAGAGAAGCTTAACAAGTACAAATGACTTAATTGCTTTCATTATCATTTTAGTCTAAGCCAGAAATCCAGTATGCACCACAATTGGAGCAGGAGCCTACAAATGTGAAAGAATCATCACTAAACAAAATGTCCTGTAAGTTCTATTTTAAGTAGCTTGGGATAAAAACATTAGCAGTCAAATCTGGTTGTGGTAGAATTGGTTGTGTGATTGTTTTTACACTAATGGAAGGTGAACAGATAATTTCTGAAGCAGTGGTTCTCAAACTTTAATATGTATTAGGATCTGGATAGCTGGTTAAAACAGATTTCTGAGCCCCCACCTCCAGAGTTTCCAACTTAGGAGATCTGGGATAGGACCTGACAATTTGCATTTCTAACAAGTTCCCAGATGTTGTTGATGCTACTGGTATAGGGACCACGCTTTGAAAACCACTCTTCTAAAAACATTTAGTTTGCTCTGAAGAATGTTTTGAGTGTGAACTAATGAAATCCTCTGATATTTCCCAATAAACTAACCACATAGTGAAACTACCTGAAATTATGAGTTCCTGTTCTATTTTTATTGCCACGCTAGAAGTGAATTTTATGTTATAGGAACAAAGAACATCAAGCTAAAGCTGAGCTTACCTTTTAAAATGTACTACTCATACCTTATTTTAGATACTACTTTAATTAACTTTCTGATTATTTTGGTGGGTGGATAATGACTGCATGTAAGGCCATTTTTAACTTTAGATTAGAATAAACCATATCCTGTTATTCAAGCCCACAAGTAATTAAACAAAGCATCAATGTCAATAAGAATTTGGAAATAAAATAGGAAATCCATAATGTGGTAGAATATCCATTTGGTTTTTAGTGTGCTGGAGGAATTTGCATTCATTATAATATGTATCAGATTACACTTATAAAAACAACTCTTTCCGTACAGTGTGTTTGTCTTGAAGTAGTCATTGAAACTAGCTTTTGGATTCGAATATCAAACTTGTACCTTGTTATTTCAGCAGATCTGCAAATGAGAAGTTCACAAACACATGGGAACTATCTCACGGATGAAGAAAGCGATGGCTTTTTAAGATGCCTCTCTCTGTATGTATTCCCCTTCATTTAATGTGTACAGGAGATAAAATCTGGCTTAGATTCCTTTTTATTAAAGTTATGTTAGCTGCTCAAAAGTAAAAAACTTTTTTACTTTTTCCTACCAGACTTGGGCTTTCAGATATTTAATTTGTTTAAAAAGTAATACACATACAACTGTAATAAAACCCAAACAGGTAATTTTTTTCACAGTAGAAAAGCATCTTGTTCTTGCTAGGGTTCCTTGATTTACGTTAAGAAATTTCTTCTTCAGATATTTAAATTAAGCTTTAATTTAAAGTATGTCTAAATGGGTTGGGGGTCAGATTTTTGTTTTTATCTGCATGGCCACACTTGAGGCTAGGGGAGGGAAGTAAGCTATAGATTAAGAAGGGCTTTGTGTTCTATACTGAAAAATGTCAACGGTATGCCAAGGATTTTTAAGGATGGCAGGGGAAATTGGGCAGGTGTGGGTAGTGGGTACCTTACACCCTCCAAGGAAGGAACATAAAGCCTTCTGAGGGTGAGGAGAATTTTATTTAAAGTATACATGCTTCTGCTCCTCCAACGAGTTCTTATTTCCTGGAAGGAAATTCCTCCATACCTTAGTTAGGGCTGGAGTATGTAAAGGGAATATTTTTTCATTAAAAATATTTTTTGCTCTATTAACTTCCCAATTGGAAGACTTGAAACAAGGCATCATATAAGAGTCCCCTGCTTTTAGATACAGTGCATTTTCTAAAGTCCACGTCCTTTATTGGGAGACAGACAATGACTGTGCATGCCTTTTCCTCGGCATGTTCAAGTGCTGGCAGATTATCAAGTGAATGGGTTATGGTGGTAAGTATAGATCTTTTATTAGGCAGTAGTGGATGAGCATAGATGTGAAAATTGGGCCACCTGTGTTCATTACACAGTTCCTCAGAATTAGATTCTTAACTATTTTAAAATAGCTTGACTTTTTTCTGCTTTTTGAATCATGATCTATAGTTTGGCAAACAGTAGGTCCATTGTGGAAAAAGCTCCTGTTCCTGATTCTTGTGACTGGCCTTCTACTTTAAGATATTTTAATCATAAGAAAAATATAACTGTCTCTTTACTAAGATTTGCTATAATGGGTACAGAATACCTCATAATAGATATGCTCTTATAAATTGAAATATAAGCAAATAGTGGAAAATTAAATATTTGAAATGTGCTAGAGAATCCTTTCATAAAACAAATGATCATTTCATTTCACCTCTTCTGTACCCTAAGTTTTTGGGATATTGGGCTTTCTTAAAGCAAGTATTGTCATAATACCTTGAAAATAATATATAATATTTGTATAGCAGTGTGCAATTTATAGAACACTTTTATTTGCCTTATCTCATTTAGTAATTATAAAATAGCTTTGAAAGTATTCTGCTTTAACTTAATATATTCAGCAGAAAGCCAGTATGTCTGATTTTTTAAATTATGAAAGAGTGATATAGCCATGTTACAGAGACTTGAGAAATGGAGGAAAGGACATCATACCAACCTAATGGAATAGCTATTATATTTCCTTCTGTAAGTTGTTTTTAAAATTTTAAGAATAGTTTTAAAGTTAGCATACAAAGTTTTAATTGTATTACTAAATTAAGTACAAAAGGTAGATTACCTTTAGTTATTAAGAATCTTTTTTTTTGTTATCATTAATCTACAATTACACAAAGAACATTATGTTTACTAGGCTCCCCCTTCACCAAGTCCCCCCCACAAACCCCATTACAGTCACTGTCCATCAGCATAGTAAGATGCTGTAGAATCACTATTTGTCTTCTCTGTGTTGTAAGAATCTTTTTTATATTACAAAATTTTAACATGACTGTTCATCTTTTTCAGTAACTCTGGGTGGATTTTAACCACAACTCTTGTCCTTTCGGTGATGGTATTACTCTGGATTTGTTGTGCAACTGTTGCTACAGCTGTGGAGCAGTATGTTCCCTCTGAGGTAAATTGAATTCTAACCTTTAGGCCATTTGAAGACTGAGCCATGTGATGTACCATTTTAAATGCCTTATTTCTTTAACTGGAAAAACAAGGCCTTCTACTAATAGAATAAGAGATTTGGTGGTTTTAATCACACATTGGGGGATGGCACACATGAAAATTGCAGGTTTGCAGGGCAAGAATCACTGTTCCCTGTATTCCGTGATGCTAACTACCACAGTGACATACACATTGGCTTCTTTGAGTAAAGTGTCTCTTTTTCCCTGGTTCTCTGAGATTGAAAAAAACCTGTTGACATCAGTTTCTAAGGTGATATATAAGAAATGAGGCTTGTAGAACCACTAATTTTAAATTAGTAGCCAAAAATGTTAAGGAATAATTGCTGCTTTAGAAGCAGTAAGGCTAGAGTGTTTAATTTTGAGTTAACATGTTCTAGTAGCTAATCCTGAGAGAGATGGAAAGCTATGGTCGTCCTTGGTAATTAAAATTTAACTGGCCTGAGAAGTGTAACTGTTATGGTAAGGAGTTTTGTTTTTTTGGAGAAAGGCTATAATTGGATGATTCAACTTAGCTTTCAAGGAAAGAAAGTTACTTATACAACTAAATACAGGATAATAATGTTTGTTGACATCAAATCCAACTGAAAGTAATCTTCAATTCTCTGGTACCACCAAAGTGCAAGAGAAAAAGAGAAAAGAAAGGGAAATTAAAATAGCATCTAATAAGTAGTTAGCATTTGCCTAGCATAGTACTTGAACAACAAACTTACTTAATAGACTATAAAGATTGTTTTAATGTAAGATTTACAAATGAATAATGATTATATTATAGTTCATGTTTTTTATTAAGATGATGTGTGATACATAGTTCTTTAAAATTTGCAAAGTATTTCATATGTCTTACATGTCCAGCAATAGTCTACAGCAGTTTTTATTATCCATTTTATAGATAATAAGCTTACAGAGTCTAGGTAACCTTCCTAGGGTTGCACAGCTGTGAAAGTATTAAGGCTGGAATTACTGTATTGTAAAGTATTGAGGTTCATGTCTTTTAACTTGCAACTCCTGTATCTTTTCCTGTCTGCTGTCTTTCCAATGGCTTATAAGGTATTTAAGTGGCACAAATAATAAATGTACAAATTGTTAAGGAAAACAGTCTATATGCTGGGATTTTCAGATAAGGCTTTTTAGGTAATGGGAGTCTTGACCTGACCTTTGAAGTATGGGTAGTAAGATATGGATTAGCAGAGAGAGGAGGAAGAGGTTAGACAGCTTTCCCAGGTGCAGACAAGAATTAAGCTATCAGGGAAGAACTGTAACGAAATGACTTGATTAAAAGAACTTAAATTGGGAAATTAAGCCAACTGGATAAAGTTAGAATTGGAAAGAACCCTGAATTATGGAAGTATTAGAAAATGGGTAAATTTCTGTAGAATTCATCTGTTTATGATATGAATGTACTGATAACATCCTCTTGCTACGTTACCTACTTATGTTCTTCTTCAGCTGTAATATCTGTATTTTAATTATTTTATTCCAAATAAAGCTGAAATTACCCATTTTAAAGATTGCTTTTGTCTATTCCTTTTGAGCTGCTGCATGTACCTCTAAATCCTTATGGCAACAAGCTACAAACTATAGTAAAAAATCTTGTTGACCACCCTATCCTCTGCCGGTTCGTTTCTTTCTTTTTTTGTTTCATCAGTGTAATTCCTTCTCATACCCCTTCTAAAAGAAAGATACACATAGACATTGATTTGGTTATTGCCAGGAAAGAATGACTGGCTGGTCTTAGGTGGAATATACCTTGATAAATCACCACAACCTTGATTCTGGTTCCCAGGCCTGTTGATTAATGTTGAGTACTTTCTCCCAGGCACTGTTCTAAATGTTTTATATGAATTGGCTCATTTAGTCCTTTCAGTAACTCTGTGAGATGGCTTTTTTAATTATGCCCATTTTCCAGATATGAAAACAGCAAGAGAGTGCATGATTGCCCCAGTGTTACATACCAGTGAGTGGTAGAACCAGAATTTGAACCCAGGTAGTCTTACTTCAGAGCCAGTACCCTTAAGTTTATTTAGTTAGCATAGAATCATAAATAAGGTTGTTGATTATGTGATTCCTATCAGGACCTGATCTCCTGTATGCCTTCTTTGACACTAGGAGAGAGACATCACCAGGACCACATGGTTCATGTTCTTGCCAGAATGCTCAAATTCTCCTATCCTAAGAGTTCTTTAGACATTTTATAGTTTTTCCTCTCTTACCTCCTTACTTGACTTAATGGCAGTGACCTCCTCTTTTGGTGGTGTTTAGACATATCAATACCTCTCACTGTCATTTTAGTTACACCTCATAGACCTAGAGATCCTTTCCTCTCCTTTCAGATGACTCTTAATCTTTCTTTTCCTTTTAGATGTTGTATCTGCTGTGATAAAATTTGTTTTGATTATGTAGCTTTAATTCTGTTAGAAATTCTTTCCCCTGATTTCCAACTTCCACACCTGTGATCATGAAATAAACAAGGCATTAATACCACAGTCCTGTTGACTCCAGATGTACATTCCTCCAGATTTCTGCCATGTGAATGTTACTCTCTTGCTCCTCTCTAGAACTCTTCTTCCTATCTTTAACAACCAAAATTATGGCTACACCCTCAAAGAGCCTTTACTTTTCTAAGGAAGTATGTTTCCATGGAAAACAGCCATTTGGATTCACTGCTTTAGGCTTTACTTTGTGTATGAACCTACACTTTAACTAGGAAATAATGGTTTTTAACTATATTTTTTATTAATAAAACATATATACTTAGTGTAAAAACTTGTAAAGTCGTGTAAAGAACTAGAAAAAAAGTCACTCATCCAGTCATACAAACCTATTGTTGTATTGTCATTTTAGTGTATTTCTTTGCATATGAACAACTTCTAACATATTAATGTTTGTTGTTTTGAAATATTATAGTATTAATATTCCTTCCCTGATATTTTTTTCCTTTGTTTACTGTAAAAATAACCAAGAACTTCATAAAGGTTATTTCGATTTTCTTGGCCAAAAGCCGCCTATTTTAAAATTTTACTTTCATAAAGCCTTTTCATTGTTTATTATCAGAACATAAGTTATTTCTGACCCTTCTCCATAGTAACATGGGACTCCATTGTTAAATTCTACAAGTATAATTCATCTATGAGCAATGTTATTTATATTTCATTATATTATTTACATATATGATCCTGTGTGTTTGTAGGAAATCATGAATCTACTGAGAGAATGTGTCTTTTAAATTTGGACCTGGTATCTTAGAGTTCAAACATGAAATGTAAAAAGCTTCCTTTTCAGTCACTACAAGTAAAGCTTAAAATGGTGGTAATAAAGGTCAGGAAAGTGGTCTTAGAAACTTAGGAGCAGCTTAATTTCTCTTATTTAGGAAAGCTCTGAAATAATTTATATTTAGCCCGCTTTTCATGTAGTAGGTACTCATTATATATCATTTGATTGTAATGGCCAGAAAGAGTTGGCAAAGAATTTAATTTCTTTGGTTGGTCTTAAAGCAGTGTCATTTTGAGTGACTTAAAAGATTTTGATCCTCTTTCTCCACTTTTTTTTCCCTGTTCTTTCTCTTCATGGTATGATGCTTGATCTCTTGTTGAGCTGTTGAAGAGTTGTCACTCATAGTGGTCCTTGTCAGGCAGGTCAATTTGACATATAAAAATAGGGTTCAGCACTACTGAGTATTCATTCCTAGAGATTTACTATAGCACACATGGTGATATAGAGGCTACCTCAGTGTTATCTCATTTTCTGCATGCTTCCTTTTTACTTATTTGTCAAGACCATTATTATCGGATTTCTAACTAACATGGTCAGTTAAGGGTTTTAAAAGTCTGCTAATAATATTCACATTAGTGAATATTATTCATTTATGTGCCAGGCCCTGTTCAAGGCATTAGAAATACAATGAAGAATAAATGTTAAAGACTTCCAAGACTCTTAAGTGTAGGGCAAAACCTGTCTTAAACTACAGTAAACACTATTTTCTTTGTCTAAAAAAAAGACCAAAATACCTTGCTTTTTAGAAACATTAGGTCTTATAAAGGAGTCAGACAATCATAAAACAATGGCTTTTTGCTCCAAATTCTGTTAAGAAACTAAATTTTAGAATAAATTTAATTAACTTACCAGATTGCATAACTGGTAAGTGGCAGAGCCAGGACTAAAGCCCAAATATGTATTGCTAGTTGAATTTATTTTTAAATTTTAGAAGTAATACATGTGACATAAAATTTTGTTTCTTCTTCACTTCTCAGATATAACACAGACAGTAGTTTTAAATTTTTTTCCAAGTAGTTACCATTTTTGAATTTATGTTCAATTTTTTATTTTTACCAACTTTAGACATTATCTAATGCCTTCCTACTGAAGGATGAGGAATTTAGTTCCCTAAAACTGTCTCCCACCTCACCTCCATCTCTTCACTTTCTGGTTTTATAATGTGTATTATTCTTTTGTATACTGTTAGTGATTGCTTTTTAAATTTCTGCTGACTCCTCATGCCTCCTTTCTTTCCCATGCTTTACCTTTCAATATTCATTAGTCATGACCTTTGACAGTAAAATATAACTATTAATTTTTCTTTATGTGTACTCTTATGCTCTGCTGTAGATTGATTTGAAAAATTAAAATCCAGTAGACAGTATTTACAGTATAACAATTATGTAAATATTCAAAATAGAACCAAATACAGTGGTAATTAGAGTCCTGTAAAAACAAATGGGAAGCTAAATTCCTTAAAAGTTTTCCCAGGAAAGTCTTTCAAATCTCTGCTTACTGGAACTGTTTTTTGTTTTGTTCTAACTTTCTTCCCATTTTCTAAGTCATCTCAACTGCTACTGTTTATTGTACTCTATTGTTCTCTTGGATTCCTCTTTACTTTTGCTGGAATACCTCCTTAAGTAATTTTTTTTCTTCATACTTAGATAACTTCTCTATTTTACCTTAGTGTTTGATAATTTGAGAATGCAGAGTAGCCACAAAATCACTCTACATACTAGTTAGAGGTTATGCATATGCTCCCATCCATTTCTGTTCAGATTTTCTCCCTGTTCTTCTAGATAGATTTTTCCGTGTTGATGTTTGAAATCATTCAAACAGTTCCTGGTTGCTGTTTCAGGGTCTTTAAATGTTGTTATATAGAGCTATGAAAGTTTTTCTATAACAGTGCCCCAGAACAAATTATCACATATTAATTCTGGGTTTTAAGGAGGCCACATTTTATTAATAGATCCATGTCCAATCCATCAACTACTGAATTTGTCAGGAAGATATTCTCTTCCTGGAAGAGTGTAAGGTACTGGGCTGCCTCATTGCAGGGTAGTTGTTGCCTTGAAGTAGTAGGCAGCAGACCACATCTGAAACATGTTCTAGTATGTGGTCTCTTGTGACTGTCCTCTTTCACTTAGCATAATCTCAGGGTTCATCCATGCAGCAAGTTTGATAGATACTTAAACTCTTGAAAGTGCTCTTTATTCAGCATCTGTTAAAAGTACTGTTTCTAACATCAAGCACTTCTATCTGATTCTTGCTTTATAATCTAGTCAGTTGCCTTGACAATAATGTCACTTCAGTTTTTAACTTACAGGTTCAGAGATTTGTCGCCATATGTATTAATAAAATCTATCCCGTTTCTTAGTAAAAACTTTTCACTTTGCTTTTCTGTCTTTAGGAGATAGACCTAATCTAAATAGACCCACTTTCAAAAGATACTAGACAGTATACCCCAGTGAGTTTCATGACATTTGCACTGATTCTGTTTTTGCTTTCATTCTTTTGTTTTAGTATTTTCTTGGATATGGTGGTAGTTATTTGAAGACCTTCTATATGTTTATGAAGACCTTTCTAAAAGTTTTAAAATGTTTCATGTGTATTCTTTGTTCTGCTCACAGCCTTTTAAAATATCTCTTATCATTTCCAAATGTGTTAAGTTAAAACTTTTATGGTCACTCATTCAGAGAGCCAAGATCTTAAAGGGATTAATCACTGCTGGCATCCAACATCAAGAGTAGGTGCTCTTGCTTTGGCCACACAACTCCATTTAAATGAATGATTTTTCTTGATACTCACTGTTATACTTCCAAGTCTTTTAAGTTGGGACATGTGGAAATATTTTCTTTGGCCACCTACTGGGAGCTGAATCCCATATCTATAACACTTTGAAGTAAAAGTGTTCTTCATTCTTGCAGGTGTTTATAGAATTCTTTTAAACCAAATACCCATAGATTAAATTGTTATTTGAAGACTTACTCAGAGAGGTCCTAATTATACCAATTGCTAATGTGCATTGATTTTCTTTTGCAGAAGCTGAGTATATATGGTGACTTGGAATTTGTGAATGAACAAAAGCTAAACAGATACCCAGCTTCTTCTCTTGTGATTGTTAGAGCTAAAGCTGAAGATCATGAAGAAGCAGGGCCTCTACCTACAAAAGTGAATCTTGCTCATTCAGAAATTTAAGCTTTGTTTTTTAAGGGTAATAGACATCTAAATTTCCATTCCTCATAGAGCTTTTGAAAATGGTTTCATTGGATATAGGGCTTAAAAATCACTATGAAATGCAAATAAAGTTACCAAAATCTGTGAAGACTGTATTTGCTATAAGCTTACCTATACATTTTTTCTAGTAATTTAAAAGATGGGTATTTGGGAATGTGTTTTTATTTTACTAATATCTGTAGCTACTTTAATTGTTATTTGCATTGTTTTGTTTGTTTCCTTTCTTAGCCAAATTCTGTGAGCTGATCGTTGTTCTTCCCCACCTCCTACCATGATGCTGTCAATTACCTTAGTTAAAAAGCTAAATACTCAGTAGGATATCATGCTTCTGCTCAGAAATGGCCCACAACCTGTAATTTGAAATTTAGCTGGAAGTGCCCTTTAATGACACTATATTTTCAGTTGAATTGAACTGAAATCATTAAAATTTTATTTGAATAATTATGTGCTGAAATTTGAGTTAATATACTCCTGATTTTCAAGATTGTCCCTTTACCCCTACCCAACCCAGAAAAGAATTATGAAATGTTCTGTTTATTGCTATGTAATATGACCATGGAACAAATTGAAGCAAAAATTAACCTCTCAAAAGTGTATTTTATGTTATTTTGCACAAGCTATAGATTTTTTTGCTGGATGAGTCTTTCCAAAGAACTAGTTTTCTCTGTTAGAAAGCATATCAAATGTAAGTTAAAAATATTTTCAGAAACAACTTGTCATTTTGAAATTGAGAAACTCTCATGATGCAGAATTAAGTATATATTTACTTGGCAATGACTATTGTTATTAACATTCCTTTACCTGCAGTAATATAGATTGAAAGATAAGAGTGCTATCAGGTAACATTTGCACAGCACAATCTTAACATTATTCAGCATCATTATACCAGGAAATGGTAAGTAACTTTGCAAACCAGTACTCCTTCTTCACAGGGCATTGCTGGCAACTGCAGTTGTGCTACTGGCCTGAAGAAGAGTGAGTCATACATTTAACCTTACAGCCTATTCAGAGGTTTCTCTGAGTTAAAATACAGTTAACAACTAATAAGTAAGACTTTGATCACAAAATAATAGGTTTTGAGCTGCAGAATCACAGAACCCAAGAATGGACTAACGGTTACCAAAG